TTTAATACGTAATTCATTCAGATTAGTGTCACTAGATGTCCCAAAAAATTTGGAACAGTCCCGAAATGTTGCCTCGAATCCTGAATCCGACTAGCCTGACTACGTCAGACTTCCTAATTCCGCTAATTTCATTTAAGTGAAGTAGCAGAGTCTGGTATTACCAGGCTAGAATCCGACCCCAATTGTCCCGAAAATTATACTAAAGCAAAATCTTGAGTAGCTATTGTCTGATAAAACATTAAAAACTGTCTTGTTCGAAGAGGATGTGTGTGTGTTCAGGAGTGATTGATTGATCATGGCACTGTGTGCAAAACAATTCTTCAGCCTAATGTCTGATGTCAGGTTACACAAAGCAAATCACCTACACAATTACTTCGTTTTCTTATTTAATGGCCGACAATTTAGTTGTAATAATAATTTTGGCATAAAACTTAATAAACTGTGCTGATTCTGTGAACTAATTTACCAAAGAATCCAGTGAAATGCACTGAATAGGAATAAATAATGTTCAACTGAGACCTTCACATTGTTGAAAATAAAGATCCACATTCCTAGCATTAGGATGCTTCTAAAGGTAATGTTATTTGTAGTACAGTGAGTGACAATGTGTTCTTTTCTCTTCCCCATCTCACTAACGGCACTAAGTTGATTTTCTTCTGCAGAGGCGGTCTTTGACTACCGTATTACATGATAAAGAGGAACATTCCAGGATGAGTCTTTCGCTAGGCCTGGTAAGTGGAAACAATAAAACTGATATTAGACTAACAAGGAAGTTTTCAGTTCTGAAACTTTCAGGATAGGCTATTATAATATGATGACCTCTTACATGTCAAAACCTCAAGGAAAATTTGATTTCTCAGTTCATGACCCCTTTAACAATTTTTGTGATGCCACCTATTTTGACACTGAGTTAGACTTCTGAATAAACAACATAAATCATAGACACTATAATGAAAACCATGCACATCCCAAGCTGTGTGTGTTTGTATCAGCACACAGCGTGTGAGTGTATATGTGACGTTTTTGTGTGTGAGAGGCGAGGGTAATTATCCTGTATGCACGCATTCTGTGGTGAAGGAGGGTGGGACGGCTCGAATGTTGCCTTGTAATCAGGCGGTATGTCTACGTTTTAAGTTACCTCATTGTCATCTCAAAATAGGCGAGCACAGCAGATGGGCAATCGCAGAGGTGGAACCTCAAATAGTAAGATTGCTGATTCTTTCAAGCTTGTTGAAGTTTTTCCAAGCTCAGAGCATGCCTGTTATTTTCCTCTGATTTATGAATCATGAGAATGTACAGCCATCCTGCGAACACAGTAGAAGATATACATTTAAAGAACAGTTCAGATACACAGTGGGGTCCAAACATCTTGAAAATGTATTTAGGGGGAAAAAACGTGACCACTAAAAAAATGTCTACTATATCTAGGTTAGTAATCAAACGAAGAAGGTGACCACATGAACATTAATGCACACTTTGGATCATTCTCAAATCATGATCATCAAGTTTTACAACTGCTGCTGTCATCAGAACAAATGGGGACCAAACCTGGAATCAGCATTGACACTTGGAGCCAGACATCTCTTAATGAAGGAAAAAGAGAAGGCACGTAAATGCTTCCCTTTTTATTTATGGTAAGATTTCGAGAAATAGCTACTACTGTGTAAGCACTGAAATTACTTCAAAGACGTTTTCCTTGCTGATTATGGAGATCCATCAGTCTGTGTTAGTGATTTATGCATTTGTTTATTTCGTTTTCATGAGCGTATGTTCTCTTTTCATCAATGTTCACATGCAATCCCCACAGGGGCCCACAACTTCTTATTCCGTGCCACTGTCCTAATGTAATATGAGCAGCATATGGTCCTGTAACCGCCCATCCCACAAATGGAAATTCTAAGCAAGATTTAGGTTGGCAACTGCGATTAAACATCTCTTCTTATTCATTCACCGATCCCATGTTAGTTATGCTACATTGGCATTTTTATATCAATGCCCTCATCCTGCATCTCCAAATGTCTGTTCTATCTTTTAGTATCTTTATTGCATTCACACCCTCTACTTGCAAATCTAAAAAAAAAACAACAACAATTAAAAAAAAAAAAAAACAATTAACCTGTTTCTCATCTGTGTGACCAAATGGTCCTCTTATGTGGAAAGAGGAATTAGTTTTCACAATGTTCTGGCAATGTCTGAAAAGTATATAGGTGTTTTTTTTTTTCTTTCTTGCATAAATGTGATTCCAAAGACAGACATTGCACATAAGTAGAGCAATTATGAAATGGGAACTGCAATTCAAAGGATTTTTTTCATATAGATGACATATTAATGTGTGGTTAAAAGAAAATCAGCAACTAAGCTCAATCGACAGAATTTGTAGCATGATGTTGATTACCACCAAAAAAATTAATAAAAATTTAGGTTATGGTGAGGCAATTTTTTGAGGATTTAAAACCAAAAGTTAGAAGCTTAATTACATTAATTTATACATTATTTTTTTTTCTGTTAACACATGTATTTGAGCTGTCAAATTGTTTAAATCATATTTTTAAGTTGTTTTACAGGCTTTCAATGCCATAGCAACAAAGTTGTAAAATTTGGATCCAACTTTGGTTAATGGGGGATTTTGTTCCAAACTAAAATCATGTTAACACACATATTGTTTAAATCTGGTAGCTACACTATTAAAACAGCAAGTATTTTAGCCTTTAATGATTGGCCCAATTCTCTTCCATTTTGGTGCCTCAGTAACCCCGATATATTTTTACAGAATATATTTTTTATAAGAGAAAGTGGGAATTACTTTGTACTTAGGCTGAATATGGCATTAATTTATTCCTTTTAGCTTTTTAAGTAATATACACATAAAATTACAACAAAATTACAAGAAGTTGTTTCAACAATCTGATGAGATTTCATACAAGTGTCTATAAAAAAAAAAAAAAAAAACTACACAAAAGTAATTTTAGACTTTTAGCTTGACTTGACCTATAAAGTATTTTGTTCATATCAATTAAACGGTGCTGCTGAACTGCAAATCCCTTGGCACATAATATTACAAAAGTGATATAAGCCGCTGGGAACCACCCTTGTCTAGAAACATGATGGAGCAGAATACAGGAGCTATCAGTCATAAATGTCTGTTATGATATAAGAACCACACAGTGTTGTATATCTGCAGTGTCAAATAAACTGTTATGATATTGTATACGTCTCTCAGATTTCAATAGCTTGATGACAGCCTTAGTAACCTTGATGTTTTATGTCGCAAAATTTGCTTTGTGATAAAGATAACTGTTTTTATTATCACAGTAGAGTGTGAATGTGTTTTCCCCATCCCCTACAGGAGGGGGAGGCCAGAATCCTGCACGGTCTCTACTTCATCGATTTTAACTTTTTGCCTAGTACAGTTCATGAATGGTAAAATCTCCCAAGCACTCCATGCATGTTGCTTTTATTTTAATTGTTAACAATGCCTTATTTGCTGAAATTTTATACAGCATACTTGTTTTGAGCAGGTTGGTGCAGCTTGTTAGTTGAGATATATGCTGAATGATGTAAGTGATTTCGCAAAACACACACAATACTAATACCTAGCTTTTTTTTTTTCTTTAAAATGTTACGCCAAACACAGAGACGGAGAGGAACTCACCCGAAGGCTCAGTTCTCGAAGCAGATGGGATGTGTATGGAAATAAAGAGACAGAATTAAGGGAACATTATATTTATATAATATGGGGACAAAATATGAATTGAAAGAAATTACTGATGCTGATTGTCTCTATGAAAGGATACTATGGAAGTGAACAGCTAAGCAGAGGATGTGCACGGACAAGTAATTTCACTACATGAAAACTCTTATAATGATGTGAAATCAATATGAAAAAATAACCTGATTTCCTCAGTGGCTTATGTGAAAGGGCACGGCCAGGCTTTTCTATCCGTGCAACATAAAATTGAACGTGAGCAGTCTTGAAAGAGTAATCACAGGAACAGGGGAAGGATTAATCACTTTGAGTGTTTGCCATGATCTCATCAGGGATGAGTTGTAAAAACACCTGAATACAATGCGCAAATCCAAGAGGTACAGATCCTTATTCTTTTGTGTTTGGTTAGAACACCATCTTCCCTCCCAGTCAAGGAATTTTCAGGAAAGGGTATACAGCAATTGCACGAGTTGGTTTACAGGTCACTTTCTTTACAGGACAAAATTTTATTTCTGTTTAGCTCTATACTCCCTCTAGTGGTATTTATTGGTGTTGTATATCAAAATATACAAACATTTTAAGAAATAGAGACTTTTTTACAATATATTTATTGCATTGATTATATAAAAATGTATGTTTAATTTTTTTCTTTATTCCATAATTAATATGCATTATTTGCATAAAAAATATACATTATTTACATAAATAATATACATAAATAGTATACTTATGTAAAGTGTATACATATATATAATTTTTGTTTGTTTCGCCTTTGTTTTGTTTAAATTGCCTAGGCAATTTAATTTGTAGAGTTTGTTTAGTACATCAGAGACTTACACTTTCCAGTCTAGTACTTACAAAAAAATTATTGTGACAGTGGAATTTCAAACGATATCTAAAAAATTGGAGCAACTTAAAATGACATAACAGCTTCTTAATGAAAACCATCATTGAGATAATCTAAGAAACGTTGTTTAGCACTGTTTATACGGTATTAGTAGCCTGTTTGTGTGTTTTGTTCTTTCCATGTTCATTCCATGACTTTACTCAGTGACGTTTGTGTATTTTCATTACTTACTAGACACCATATTCCAAGACACTGGCTTTTAACGTCTCATTTCCATGACTTTACTATTCGGTTTTGCTGTAAATGTGACGTTTTTTGAATGTAGCAGGTTCCCATGTGGTGAAAAGAGCAGCCAGTGAGAGACTACTCTAAGATCTGATTGGTGCATTGAAATGCCAGTCATTTTTTAAAGCTTGCTCTTATTGGTCCAAACGAAGCACCACCTACATAAATAATCGAATGACTTCCGCTGACGAATTTTGAATGCAGAGCGGTTTATGTTGGTTTACTACAACTAAGGGCAAAGTGGTAGAAAAATACTTATTTAGAAAATCTGAACTTTTCAGTCGCCGAAAACAACTGTAAATAGCAAGCCATATCCTGAGATGGATCAAGCATTGGAGAAATTACTTATTGGGCTCGCAGTTAATATAAGTCGTAGTGATGGTAAGATGCTTGTTTGCTAATGCTAACGTTACCTGCCAATATTTTACAAGTACCGTTAAGTTAAGTTAACTTTACGAACTGCGTCATCAAATCAGTTGATGTCAAACCAAGTAAAATCAGGTTAAAGTTAACATAAATGTAGCAGTGATTGCAGCGGGAGGTTTCTAAAGATTGAAAATTAACGTTACACAGAAAGATCAACACTAAAAGAGATTCTAAAGCAATGTTTTTGTAACAATCAATAAGAAAATAAAATGCAAATAATGTAAATAATGCAAACAACAACCTGTCACTTTATCTTGTGTTCCCTTGTCATGTTGGATAGTTGGCTGGGTTGTTTTTTAAAGAGATAAATTAACGTTAATTCACAAAAAAAAAAGATAATTCTGTAATTTACTTTTGTTGTTATAACTTAACATGCTATTCTAAACCTTAATCTAAATAGTTTAGGGTTTTTTTTTTAAAGAAATGAGATGTTATGCTGAATGACATCCTCTGTCACAATTTATTGTATGGGGGAAAAAAAGATGTGATAAAAGTGAATAATACTTTTTTTGCACCAATGATGAAAGTCAAAGTTCAACTAAGAAAATGTTGTGTATGGCACCGTTTCCCCATCAATGCAGGAAGAATACACAGCGCCACTGTGAAAACGGTCAACATCACTAAAGCCACAATCAATGTGGAATGGGCTGAGAAAGGCATGACTAAAGGGAAAGAGGTTGGTACTTAATTTGTCATAACATTTTTTCACTGTATAGAACAGTACATTGTCTTCTGTGTGGAGTTGTTGGTTATTTGTACAGCCATGTCAGCCAATGCTCTAGGATGTGTTTGTTAACTAGACTATTAAATCGATTGTACTCTAGGTTGACCTGGATGAACTCAAGCAACTCAATTCTGACCTTATGCAACACCTTCAACCATGTCGTCAAGAGGAACCAAAGCCCACCACGGCCCCTATCGCTGCACCTGAGAAAAAAATGGCAAAAGTGAGTTCTGTATGCTTATCCTCAAATTCTATGCATATTACAGCGATTGCTGTTTTACACACATTTATGCACATGCTGTGTTTGAAATCACACACATTTCTTATTCATTCTAATCAAAAAACACATCTTTAAGTCTTAATTTCATTTTTCTATGCATTATTGACTACTTAGTCATTTACACAGTACTTTATGTATGCTTCAGAACATCAGAGCATCGGAGCTTCTTTCAAGGTCATCCAGAATACCTACTTCAGAACGTAAGTTATAATATTCATTGTTTCCAGTAGGTTTAGTCCAATTCATAGTTGGTCTCCTGACCTGCATCAGTGTAATCTTGTGGTGTGTTTCCTATTTGAAGCTGCTCCTCAGGATAATGATTGTCCATCTGAAGAGTCAGGTTTGCATCAAGTGCATGCTCTCTTTCTGCCCTCCAATCACAAACTTCGGTCAATTATATAATTTTTTTGTACATTTGGAGTGCTGTCGGTACAGAGAAAAACAAAAATCAGTGTTGCCTACACCGTGTTATCCTCTGTTTTAAAATTTCCACCCTGTGGGGCAAGTTCTAAACCTGCTTTTAGCCTTGATTTGTCATTACAAGTGCACAGCCATGTGAGTGGTGTTATTAAGAGTGACCACGGGCAATCTGACTGCAGTAGATAGATATTAATAAAATGTATAATAAAAAGATATTAAGAAAATGATGTTAATTCAGCCAGCTCACATACCTGTATTTACTTCCTGTTTTCGGTCGAAGTCCACAGTAGTCGATTGTCGAGTTCGCGCGCACGATCAAAAACCTCCTCTGTGTGTTCAACATCTAATTTGGATGAACTATCCATTTGAGCTGATATTCTCAGAACACCACACAGCACCGTCATCGGCTGACAGTTTGAGTCTCCACTATTGCTTAGTTACCAATGATCGCGAACTCGACAATCGACTACTGTCAACTTCGACCGAAAACAGGAAGTAAATACAGGTATGTGAGCTGGGTGAATTACCATCATTTTTATTAATATCTTTTACATTTACTGCAGTCAGATTAACCGTGGTCACTCTTAATAACACCACTCACATGGCTGTGCACTTGTAATGACAAATCAAGGATGTTAAAGAGGCTAAAAGCAGGTTTAGAACTTGCCCCACTGAAATCAACAGGGTGCAAATTTTAAAAAGGAGGATAGCACGGTGTAGGCAACAACGATTTGACGTTTTTGTCTGTACTGACAGCACTCCAAATGTACAAAAATTGAGCTCAATGTTAAAATTGACCGGCGTTCTCCTTTAATCAGGGTGTCTCTTCCCACTTTTTTCCACATGGCCTTTTCTACAAATTATCTACTTATCAAAAATAGGACATGCTATAAATTCCTGTCTCTGTCAGTCCAGAAAGTTCACACATGGCAGAGATGGTCATTCATTCTAGCAGCGATCAATGCACTGTGGCTGGTAGCTTTTCACTTTTGGGTTTCATGTAGCAATGACTGTTCTTTTAATCATTTTAGAAGTTGAAGTGTCTGCACATTGTCAGATACTATGAGGGTGAAGATATTGTCCAAACTGTTATCCAATTTTATTGCAGATAAATTCAATCATGACATGTGTTTGGAGATACAGGATTTGTCTATTGGATTGCCTTTGGATTTAGTGGCAGTGTTGATAATGTGAAGCTCTTTATTCTACTTTGGAAATCCCTTTATTAGTGCCTTGATGTGACTAAACTTAAATAAATTACACTGAACTGACATCATAACATATATTTCTGTCCCTTTCAGCCTCTAGAAGAATGACCACACGTCAGACGTGCTTGTTCCGACTGCCCGCCCCTCCACCTGTGGTCTCGGCAACGGCTGCAGAAGTAGTTCTCGCTCAGGATCTTCCTACATCTGCGACCCCTAAACCCTCAGGTCTGTCTCTACATCAACATGATATTAAGATATGTAGTCAAGTTATAGGTAATGTTGGATTGGCATGAACTGATGTTGATTGGTAATCGATGTGAGGTGAAGGGAGTGTCACACCCATGATTCACTTGTACTGTCAGCTTGAAGACTTAAATCATTGTTAAAACATCTTTTACAAAACATTTCACCATCTGGTTTGGCAGGCTACCAGAAGAGACTTGTTTCAAAGGTAGCTTCTCCTCTGCTACCAACTATTGAGGCTATATGTGAGAGTGAGGCTTCCAAATGTGCCCCCATGGGTCCACCAAGTATGTACTGTTTTGAATTTGTCCTGCAACCTTTGACATCATGGATGTGGTGGCTATTAACATTTACATCACTTATAGCACTGCACACTGTTGTAATTGTAATCTTTTAGGCAGTCGCATATCTCAAATGTCGGAAATGTTTGGGGGTCAAACAAGGGTGGCAAACAAACGGTTGTCGCTTGCTAAAAATCCTGAAGCACAAAAGAGAGGAAAGGTACCGTATTTTATCTGATATCATGCCTATAGTTTTAAGTCCTTTTCAAATGAAGTCTGATTTTTTTGCATGGGGGGGGGGGGGGGGGGTTATTATTGTTATTATTATTGCTTGATTACTGAACCATATTTCATTTTCCTCTGCACTGGACTTTCATTTCGACTACTAATATGAAAAAAAAAAAGTTTGCTAATTCAGTTAAGAATATTCATTTATTTTATTTTTAGACATACAATGGAGTTATTATTATTTTGTTATAAAAAAATATTTATTAGTATTATCAATTTACTTATCTTTTTTTTTTTTTTTTTTACTTCTCTGTTTTGGTCACTTGTAGTCTTGATGTAGAAATGTGGAAAAATGTATTTGAATGTCTCCTTTCACAATTTTTTTTCTAGTTTGGAGATGCATGTCGCCCTAATAAGCAGTTTTACCAGATGATTGAAGACTTCAGAGAGACCCTGGAGAAAGTACCCATGTCCTTTTCCGATCCTGTGAGTTAATGATCATAATATTAATAGCATCTATTCATTCATATTATTTTAACACACAGTGCCTTTTTTTTTATTTTTAGGTCAAACCTCACAGAATATGTGTTTGCGTTCGCAAACGTCCTCTGAATAAAAAGGGTAGGTTCTCCAATTGACTCTTTCTTGAATTTTAATTTTTTGGGTTTTTCTTTTCTTTTCATGTATTTCTCATTTATTTGTGCTCAGAGTTGGCAAAGAAAGAGATTGATGTGGTCACAATACCTGGTAATGGAGCCCTGCTGTTGCATGAGCCCAAGCAGAAAGTGGATCTGACCAAGTACCTGGAGAATCAGAACTTCCATTTTGATTACTCATTCGATGAAGATGCCACTAATGACTTGATTTACAGGTAGCTGAGTATTTTGAGTTTCTGTTTGGTATTTATTAGAGCCTGACCGATATATTGGCGGGCCGATATTGGGCATTTTCCTAACCATCGGTATCAGCATTTATAATGGCCGATAAATGTATTTTTTTTTAAAAAATGCAGGTTCTGTGTTTTTTTTTTTTTTTTTATTAATAAAACTTTTTCATTATGATATTATTAATTTTACTTTAGTAAAAAGATCTGAGTTCTTCCTCCACTGGTAGCGATTAGAGGAATTAAGACTAAAAATACAAGATAAGGTTTTGTCAGTGACGCTTTTGATATTTATTGATACAAATTGTTTTATATAACGTGACTAAATTAAAAGAAAGTCGTTCGTGAAGATTATGCAACAGTGTTTGTAATATAATATAACATGCAGTACAAACTAGTTTGGTTAAAGCTCAAATGTATCATTCTCATTTTATCGTTTACCCTGTCTTAATTACATATCTTCACAAGTGTTTGATCACCACATTTGAGTGATCATTGCAAAACATTTATATATTTCTTCTGTTTAAACCGTGTATTCTATATACAGTACCCATCAAACGTTTGTACACACCAATAGGAAAGGGTGTCCAAACCTTTGACTGGTACTTTACTATAATACACATACATAATATTGCTACTGTATGATAATATACACATACCGATACATCAACCGATATTATTTTATCTGGCTTTTTTTTCGGCATCGGCCCCCAAAAATCCATATCGGTCTGGCTCTAGTATTAACATGTGAACATGGCAGGTATTGTTTATTCAAGAATTAGTTCACATCTGTGCCGTTCCAAACATGTATGTCTGTCTTCCAAGAAACATGAAACATGCTTTGTATTTACATGGAATACAATTTCTAGTTAAATACTGTTTTTCTAACAAATAATGGCAGAATTTATATTTTTGGGGGATATGCCAAAGTTTAACTTACAAACTGTTCAAATGGTTATGAATTTATCTTTTAGGTTCACCGCTAAGCCTTTGGTTAAGACCATTTTCGAGGGTGGTATGGCGACGTGCTTTGCATATGGCCAAACAGGCAGTGGCAAAACTCATGTAAGTTGTTTGTGTTTTCCAAAAAAAAAAAAAAAATCCCAAACAATCCAAAACCATGTTGTTGATCTTAAGGCATTCTTTACAGACTATGGGTGGAGACTTCACTGGAAAAAGCCAAAACAGCTCTAAAGGGATTTACGCCCTGGCAGGTGATTGTAACTGTCAAATGTTACTTTACTTAGTGGGCTGTTACATTTATCCATGTTCACTCTGATATTAATCTGTCTGCATACTTCACAGCACAGGATGTATTTACCCTCCTAAAGCAAAAGCGATATGCTGATATGGACCTTTGCCCATATGTCACCTTTTTTGAAATCTACAATGGCAAGGTTTGCACATATTGTATTACATGTTTCCAAAACATTTCTGTGATGTCTTGTCAAACTGATGGAGGATTGTGTTTGCTAGAGCAAATAAACCTAAAATTTACAATTGATTAATGTACTCTTGATGCTCAATTAAACAAGTGGGCTATTTCATTTTATGCTGATTTGATTTTTAGATTGTGGTTGCAAGCATAAAGTACTTGTTCAGGCATGATGATGAACATTTTGTGCACTGCAGGTGTTTGACTTGCTGAATAAGAAAGCAAAGTTGCGTGTTTTGGAGGATGAGAAGCAGCAGGTCAACGTTGTTGGCCTGCACGAAGTTCCCGTGTCATCTGTTGATGACGTCATCAAGATGATTGAGAAGGGAAGTGCATGCAGGTAAATATTAAGAAAACCCTTTCTTTCATGCTTTCTTAAATGGTTACGTTTATGCTGCAGCCCTTATCTTACCAGTGTTTTTGATATCAAGGTGGTTACCCACTGAGTCTGTGTTTATATATTGTATTGACAAGTCATCACTTAAATATTTAGCATCTTATATTCTATGTTACTGTGAAGTTTTTGCCAGCATTAAAATATAAAAAAAAAAAAAAAAAATGATGATGATCCATGTGTTCTATAAAGGAATGTTTGGATAATGTTTGACAGATAAATAGATAGGAGCACAAAACAATATTATGAAGCTGCAGACTCGGAGCCTGCATCTACAGTCCCCCACCGAGAGTCCCGCATTCTCAGACCCCTCGTTTTTCGAACACAGCACCTCCTGCTGTTCAAAAGATCGAATAACACCCGCCCACAGAGTACAGCGCACGATTATCCAAATGCAATATTGCATTTGCAATATTACGGTCCCCAAATAAATTATCCAATAAATATTTCCGTTCCCTGCTTAATGCATGTGCCAAAAAAAAAAAATTGTTACTGACGGAAGGGATTCAATTACAGATTGAACTATCTTCAGAAAAATAGTATGTGATATTATATTGCTACAATGGTGTTTTTTTTTTTATTCAAATTTCCAATTTTTCTTTCAGTTCAACCTATAATGGTCTAATTAACATTACAATATCTGTTTTTTGATATTTTGAAACAAATCAAAATAAACAAAACACCAATAATAAACAATTCTGTACTTTATTTAATGATCAACTAAACATCATCTTGCTGTAAAGAAAAAGGGAAGAAAAAACTGTGTTCGTGACTTTACTTTTCGTCTTCAATTGCATTAAAAAAAAACTCATTTATAAGTCGCTTTGCATAATCATAAAATGATTTTGCTGGATTCGGCAGCGGCAACTCCATCGACGTATGGTGTACCCTGGAATAGCCTACAACATAGGACCGATAACACATGTCTTATGATGTTTCAAAAAGGAAGGGGAAAAAAAAGGGAAAAAATGTTTGCAAATGTTAGCTACCATGTTGCACTGCTCTGTTGAAGTGTCCCTTGAGACGTTTTTGAACTTTGTGGGTTTGAAATATATAGGGGCACAGAATGGGCAGTGAAAATAACTGCAGCATTTGACATTTCTACAAAAAGTCCAAGGTTAAAGGCTAACTTCTAAATATTTTCGGGGGGAAGAGGGCAAAGAAACGTACATTAACGGCTCAAATCTTGTTACAAACTATCTTTACAAATATTAAATGGACTAGTCATATGTTGTATCGATGAGCTAAATTAGTTTTATTAAAAAATAAATCAAACGAGTAGGCTACTACGATTTGCTAAATAAACTTGAAGATAGCCTACTCACGTTTTGGCTTAAGTTCTTCACATGTTTATCCGATAGAATTTGATAGGAGGCGCTGTGTTCGAAAAACGAGGGGTCTGAGAATACGGGACTCTGGGTGCAGGGGGACTGTAGATACAGGTCTCCGAGTCTGCAGCTTCATACTACTCGCACAAAAGAGTTTTTAAAGAGTCAGCTTATAACACAGAACTCTGTATGGTAACAGCTGACAGACCGTTATCCAGATAACTTTTCGAAAGTTCCAATCAAATGTTTAAAATATCATAATTGATGTCCTTGTGATTTTATCCCATCTTGAAGTATGACCAAGCATCAAGTCAAATGTTTTAGTGCTTCACAATACACACTGTTTCCAAGCAGCTTTACAGAAATATTAAAATGTTAGATCTATAATGCATTAAAGTTTTAGGGCCGCCCAAAATATAACAATATGATCGATCATCTGGATTTAGATGTACCTATATAGTCTTTACTGTTGTCTAGCTGGTCACAGCCTTTGCTTTATACATTTCTGCGGCATTTATAAATGTCTGGAAACCTGATTTCTGTCCATGTTGATGTCCATGGGCCACTCTGGTTCTTTGCTAAGTTTTAAGGAACACTGTCGAGTCCAACTTCCTTAAATTTAAGAATTCCTTTTGTTTTACGCTCGTTTTTGCTGTATCTCCTAATAAATCCAGTCATGTTTTAGGATGTTTTGCCACTCAGTCTGGCTAAGGGGGTGTTCTGATGGGAAAGTGACGTCAATACAGTGCATCTATTTCTGTTTCAGATAATTAGTTTAACAAAAACTTTCTCTCTCTATACCAGAACGTCTGGCCAAACGTTTGCAAATGCCATCTCCTCACGTTCACATGCGATTTTGCAAGTAATCCTAAAGCGGCGGAATTTCCTCCATGGGAAGTTCTCTCTGGTGGACCTTGCTGGGAACGAGCGTGGCAATGATGTCAGCAGTAATGATCGGCACACCATAGTGGAGACTGCGGAGATCAACCGTAGCCTGCTGGCTTTGAAGGTGCTTTGTCGTCTTCAGACTGATTGACCAAATAGGTTCATTTTAATACACACATTTGACATTTTTAAGTACACAGCCAGATTTATAATACTATGACCTGGTTTCATGGACAAGGGCTTACGACTAGTCCCAGACTAAAATGGATGTTTGAGATGTTTTAACTGAAAGTAACTTGGCACTGACTTTTTTTTTTTTTTTTTTTTTTTTTTTTATGAAAGTTGTAAAAAAAAAAACAATATTGTTTTCTTTTGCTATTTGAGCAAATACGAACACAGTGTTTTCTCAACTGATCTCAAACTCGCCTGGGTAGAAACGGAATCTGGCTTCATGCAACAAGCCTTTGTTGATTTATAGCTTTTGTTTGCTGCTCCATTAGTGCAAAAAACTAGTTTGTTCCCAGTTGTTTCACCATTCATGCAAACACAAAAGTAATTGGCAGTTACAGAATTTGAATGCAATACATTTTTCATTTCTTACCTGACTGTTCAGGAGTGCATCCGCTCTTTGGGTCAAAACAGTGAGCACATCCCATTCAGGATGAGCAAACTCACCCAGGTGCTTCGAGACTCCTTCATTGGAGAAAATTCAAGGACCTGTATGGTAAGGAAAAATAATAAAATCAGTTAACCTCTCTTTAGAGCTTGCTTTTAATACTGTTATTTCAACAATCTCCTTGTTTTTCCATTTTGTTATGCCTGTTATAGATCGCAATGATATCACCTGGTATGGGCTCTTGTGAATACACTCTGAATACACTACGTTATGCAAACAGGTGCTTTTTTTTATCTTCATGGGAACTTTGGTTGCTTCTGACTGACCTCTGGTGGTGTGATATAGTTATTACTGTCAGTTTTGTGTGTTTCTGACAGGGTAAAGGAATTGAATGGTATGTCCAAGGGAGCTTCAGTGGAGAATTTTTCACACCTAGAGATTTCTGAGGAGGGAAACTCCTCAGAGGAGGTGAGCGAATCATGCCTTGCATATTTATTTTAAGTGTTCAGGAATTTCCTTTCATCTACAGATCGAATTGAATTTGATGTTTTTGTTTTGCTTGTGTTCGAATGGAGGTTTTTATTGAACCAAGTCACTGAATTTGACTATTCTGAACTACTTCATTTTCAGACTTAAAGGCATGATTTAATATTTCTTTTGTTTATAAATCAAACAAATTGAAATATAGGGCTATGTATCGATTCAGATGTTCAAATTCGATTCTATTTCGATTTGTAAGCTCTTGATTCGATTCCTGATTTGATTCTCTATTCGACTATAATGAATATAGATGTAATACAAATCCTATGTTTATAAAAAAACAACAGTAGACATAAGTTTACAAGTGGTAAATTAATACAAAGAAATTCACCAGTGCGCAAGCACAAGATAGTTTAAAATTGATTATACATTTAAACTGATAAAACTTAAAAAGACGTGAAAATGATAAACGTTATGATTCAATGCTGGCCCGATTGTGCAAGTGAATTTTCCATCATGTCCCGACTCCTAAACGCGAGTGTGCGTTTAAAAAAAGCGATTAATCGAAAAATCTATTTTATTTTATTTATTTTATTTATTTTTTTGCCCAGCCCTATTGACATAACTATTCGTAAAATTGTGATGAAATGGAAGACAAATATTGTGACATACTTCTGAGTGAATCGTTCACAATGTATACATACATGTACACGTGCATGTGTTTAACTTATTTATAGAAATCAAAACCCCCTAAATGTACTTCTTTTTTCAGGAGTCTGTTGTTCCAGCATTTGAGGCTATATCACAAGTGTCTAATATGGAGGAGAGGTTTTATGAAGAATTGAAGGTTTGTAGCTTTCCGGCTTTCTGTGTGTCTATTGTGTAAACACACCTGTCCTGAGTGGGTGGCTTTGTTCTAAACCTCACTATCACTCAAAAAGTTACAAAGCTCCCCATAGCAGTGAGATTAGGGCTGGACAATTCAATATCAATATTTATCACTATTATTATTATTATTATTATTTTTCCAGTAACGGTGATATGATTTTTAAACATTTTTGATATTTCAATATACGCACAGATAGCACACGGACGTCTGCAAGATGTCTGTTAAAGATCACTTCATCTGGAAAGCATCTGCTGTTTACTAACATCTGATAGACATCTTTAAGATGTCAGTTTAACATGCAATCTAAATCATTACATCTGGAGGACATCTTCTAAACGTCTATTTGACATCCGACAAGAAACGTCCCATAGACGTATTGCAGATGAGCAAACACTCTAAAAAAAAAATGTCTTCCAGATGTAAACACACACATGTGATGTGATGTATGTGAGCTATACAGGTATAATGGGCTACGTTTACATGCAACCAGATAATCCATTAGTAATCGGATTGATGGCTCGATCTGACTGAAAAACCTTCATTTAAACACCTTAATTGATCAGATTGAGCTCGATCTGAATACATTTTTAATCGAATTAAGAGCGGTAGTTTATTCCTTTTCTAATACGATCAAGAGGACATGCAAACACTTGATCGGATTGAAAACAGATTGAAAGGACTGCGCATGTGCAATGACGTTCAAATAGAGTATGTATGACGTACGAAAAAGCTGTTTTTCCTGCTTAATGAAATAAGCAAATGAGTTTGAATGAATCATAAATTATTTCTTTTTTACAGTATTGCAGGGAGAAGCATTTTAACTGCTTGATAAATATAAGCAGCAGCACAACAGTTTATTTGTTCATTGTCTCCAAATTATCACCAGAAATGGATACATTTTAAAACAAATAATCAATGTAGGAGAGTGGTAATTATGTGCAAACAGTGCAGCGGTAAACTATTTGTGCAGTGAACGCATGTCAGAAAACCAATTCCGATTTAAAGCTTAAAACTTGTGACCCGATCACTCGTTTAGCATTCATGTAAACACTGCATTCAGATTCATCAATTGGAATGAATTCAGGGTGTCATGAACACTCAAAATGTCCCTCAGAAACATCTTTTTTTTTTCTGCAGCAACTCTGAGCACTTTTCTTATTCTTTATGCATCTATAAGAATATTATAATCAACCTAAGTTTGCCTACAGTTTAAAGATATTAATATTTTGAGTCTTATGTTTTTTTGTCAGTGATTTTACGTTTCTTGTTTGTATGAAGGCTAAATAGAAATAAAAATATTACAAATAAATTTAAAATCTAAAATATTATATAGTTTTATAGGAGGAGGTTTCAGAGATTAGGCAAATTCATCTTTCAGAAGTCTGACATTCATTATGGGGCATTCTTGGCAGTTTTTCTTGAGGCTTTTATACTGTTCATATATCGATATCAGAATTATATTGTTTCAACCGAAATTAAAAAATATATCGTGATCTACATTTTGGCCGTATCATCCAGCCTGAAGTGAGATTACAAAACACGCCTTTGTTATTTGTTTAGTTTTTAACTGATCTGAGACCTTTAATTATGTTTCTCATTCCTTTTCCAGGGGTGCAGTGAGATTGCCAGATCCATGGAATATCCCTCGTTTGATATTTTAGCAAATTTACCAGAGATTGATGCATGTATGACGAAACTCCAAGGTATTTCATTTTAATCCAAACAGAGACACGCACTACCATTCTAAAGTTTTGGGTCAATGAGGTTTTTGGTCTCTTATGCTAACCAAGGCTGCCTTTTATTCTTAATTTCAGTAAAAACTCAAATATTGTGTATGATGTTCCAGCTGTTTTCTAATTAATGTTCTTTATTCTTGTGATGGCAAAGCCTAATTTCAAGCAGCCGTTATTCCAGTCTTCAATGTCCCATAAACTTTCAGAAATCATTCTAATATGCTGATTTGGTGCTCAAGAAATACTACTTGTCAATGTTAATTACAGTTATGTGGATCAAATTATTATTATTTCATTTTTTTAGAAGAGCAGCATCATTCTTTGAGGTTGAACTCTTTCATTATAGAGACATTAAAAATATCTGTCACTCAGGAACAATTTAATGTTTCCTTGCTAGTGTTCAGTTCTTTTCTAACACTGTTCAAACTTTGGTGAACACAAGTGTACATTTTATTTTAAAGGGAAAATAATTTTCCATGAAGGTCATTAGAGCATTTTACACCAGCGCATAGAATATATAACTGTTATAATTACAGCATTGAAATAATAGTTTTTCTTCTTGTAGCGTCTTACCAGGCTTTGAGATCAGCTATTGAAGCAGAACAGAGGATCAGGATGTCACCAACCTAACCTAAGATGAGATTCATCTGCGAACAACTGCAAAGAAACCTCTTCAATTTGTTTTCAGTATGTTCTTTTAATAATCTTATCTGCTATCTGGCTAGAGATACATCAAGTGTTTGTTTGTTTGTTTTTATGTGTGTACGCTTCAATTATTTTTGTGTACTGAATAAAGGTTCCCTCATCTTGGATCTTTTTTGCAAATCATAATCATCACATTTTGAATGCTGTGTCTTGGTTTTTTAAAGCAATCTTCATAAATCATCAGCTCTTGTGATTTTTTTTTTTTTTTTTTTTTTTTTTTTTTTTTTTTTTGTGCACTTGGATTCTAACTTGTTTCACATCACATTGAAACTTTTTTTTTTTTTTTGGTCCCCAAAATGAGACAGTTCCCATCATCCCAAAACCACCACCCCCAGCCTTGACCTCCAAATCGCCACAATATACAAGCCACAAACAGTGTATACACTTGCCCTGCAAGCACAAGCTTACACATGACAAATCAAAGGCCTAATAAACTCCTCACACTGAACAGTTTACCTCAAAGGATGAAAATAAACAAAATCAGCCTGTGAGTGGGTGGCCCCACATCTCCGTGTGAGGCCTAGAAGCTCAACGGCTTCCTCTGAGCTCTTTGGGTGGCATTTCCCACCCCCTCCCAACTATTTACCCCCATACTGTGTAAATGCATATATCTGTGTTTGCATATATTGCACCAAAATTGTGAATTCAAGTTAAATGTATCTTGCGCGATCACTACATTTGTAGACACACTGTTGCACACTTTTACAAGACTGTTCATTGTTAAATGCTTAATAAATGATTGTCTTTCTCTGTATCTAATTATCAGTGTATTATTTCTGTCCAGCTTTTTTTTTTTTTTTGGGGGGGGGGGGTATGTGTGCATGTGTAAAACATGTTTCAACAAAATATTTAGCAAATAATTGTTCTAAATGTATATATTAATATGTCAACTATAGTACTGTTGTGGTGAACAGTGGTTGAAATAATTTCTATGTATTAAAACTTTTTAGACTTTTACCCACACTCTTACGTAACTATGGGACTTGGAGAGGAAAACTTGTTTTAAGGTGTCAGTTTTTCTCAGAACAACTACCTGAAACCTTGATAATAATTGTATCCTTCACTGGTTTTAACAGACTGAAATAGTTTTGATTCAGTTTTGCATTGAGTCTGGGTATATCTAGCCAGCTTCTGAAATAACATGCTTAGAATGGCAAAAAGTCCTCTGGCTTGTTACAAACATGGTTCCTTCGGATCGGTTATCCACCATGCTTTTTAAAAAAGACCAGAGAGCAGAAGGAGCTTTTGCTGGGATTTTCGATTTGGAAATGTGTTTCATGCGAGGCCGAGTCTTGTATCTGTTGGCGCTGAGTCTGTTTGACTCTGCTTGCTGGATTCCAGCTGTCCACATGAATATTTTCTCAGTGTGGAGAAAATTGGCAGTGGCTGATGCTCAGTTCCCATCACCTCCACAGACTAAATAAACAGACAAACCACCCAGCGAGCCCATCGGAGGACCATGCAGAACAACCTCTGTTTTTCTTTTCCTCCTGACCCCTTTCTTTCTTCTCTGTCATTCTGTGTCTCTGGGTTGTCTATGAATGGATCTGGATGGGGAAAGTGTCCATTAACGCTGCCAGGCCTGTGGCAAGGCTGCCTAAATGTGTTATGGTGCTTGGAGATGAGCCTTTCCATAAACACATTCACACATATTACACTAGTCTATAATGTGATACAGGCTATGTGTGTATTTTGTACAACCGAATATCACGGTGTTGTTTTGAGTTTCCCTTCAGTGAGCTGTTAATCGAAAACCAGTGAGACCGTGTCTTAATTCGGTTCATTGCAAAGAACCGGTTTAAAAGAATGATTTGTGCACAATTTAATCTTACTAAATCAGTGAAAATTACTAAATTTTCAATCTAAATATTCCTCACACAAATATATAGTTTGGCTTGAGAATACACTCAACCTCACTTATACCTTAATGGTGCTAGTGGGTTTATTTTGTTATTTTTGCAGCTTGATACGTCTGCTTGAAGATTCTTCAGAAATAATTCTTTAATTGTTGAACAGTAAAAATAAATGGGTTTGGAGTGACAATGATGGTGTCATTTCATCAAATAATTTGAATGCAACATTTATAGAAATATTAGTCTAAGAACATGACGCAGGTTTTGTCTTCACTTTTAAAACGTTAGCAGATATCATTGAGCTATTCTTATAGTTAACAACTTTAGCTGTTAACTGTCCTAGATTTAGATATTTTCATGTGCAGTTCAGGGAGAATTTGTTGTCCTGCACATGATCATTTTTCCTACCAATAGAGGGCAGTCCAACTATGCAGACCTTTTACTGAACTCACATGTTTCATTAGAAATAACGTTTCCTGCCGTTGTAATAGTGTTGAGGAATTCATGTGCACTTTTATTTATTTGTTTTAGCATGTTTACTCATTTAAAAATCAATGTGAGTGCGACACACCAGAAAATTCCCAGCATCTTGAATAGCTTCAGAGTCAGCCACATTGGCGCTTGCTTATTTTGCATGCAGTTTGGCATCGCCTGCCATGCTCATTGGCACCGGTACTGGGTCTCTAAATGTAATGTATTCACAGGGGTGTTTTAATGTTTGATTTTGTTCATGAATGCTACACTGTTTTCAAGGAATTGTTGAATATTCCTGACGGTAATTTAGGATGTTTCCTATGTCTTTTGTGACACTTGCTATTCTTTTCCAGGTGGAATGATCAAATGCGCATGTCTGTGTGAAAAGATGCAGGCGCTGGCGGCAGGCCATGCTCTGTCTGCTAGGCTGTGGTGAGTCTGGGTTTCCCCAGCTGGGTAACTGTTATGCCTGTTTATGCTTCCATTTCAAGGCGTCTAGAGGACATCGTGCCCGTCAACACAGGTGTGCAAACCACAGAGTCTAACAAACAGGGTGTATTATTAAAACTCATGCAGACGTTCATCTTTTAGGCCTTACACAAATAAACTCCGCAATTTGGAGTAACGTTAGAAATTGTTAGCTACTGTTATTAGATTTTCGAATCTTTTACTCTTAAAGGATTAGTTCACTTTAAAAGTGTTTGCTGATAATTTACTCACCCCCATGTCATCCAAGATGTCCATGTCTTTCTTTCTTCAGTCGAAAAGAAATTAATGTTTTTGATGAAAACATTAGGCCTGCAGGATTTTAGCTGCTAACGTTAATGGACTTCAATGGACCCAACCGTTTCTAGGTCCAAATGGCCGTTTCAGAGTACCTTCAAATGGCTTTAAACGACAACAGACGATGAATAAGCGTCTTATCTAGCGAAAATGTCATTTCAAAAATAAATTTTAAAAAGTTTAAGTTTTATAAGCACAAATGCTCACCTTGCTCTGTTCTGTGATGGGCATTCGTGACTCTCCTGTTCGAACTCGTTCATCTAAATGAATGAATCTTTTTCGAGTCATTTTGTTTTTTGAATTAACCAAATGACTCGAAAAAAGATTTGTTCGTTTTGATGAACGAGTTCGAACCAGGTTCGAACAGGAGAGTCACGGAAACGGACATTTGGACCCTGAAACGGTTGGGGTCCGTTAAAGTCCATTATATGGAGAAAAATCCTGTAATGTTTTCATCAAAAACCTTAATTTATTTTCGACTAAAGAAAGAAAGACATGGACATCTTGAATGACTTGGGGGTGAGTAACTTATCAGCATTTTTTTTAAAGTGAACTAATCATTTAATTGTCAGTATCCTGAAAAAAATGTCTGTCTTTACCTGAATTTACTACTCTTAATTCAAACTATTTCTTGAATTCCTGTTGGGGCTTTAAGGTTTAAGACAAGAATGATTTTCTGTAACGCTGCTTTGAAATTACATCTTTAGTGACAGCACTATACAAAATGATTTGACTTGACTTATATGCCAAAAAAACAAAGACATTAAGCCAATGTGTTAAAACAGCAAAAAAAAAAAAAAAAAAAAAAAAAATGTGTTAAAGTATGTAATGGCAATATGAAGCAATCTAATATGCGTTTTTTATACATTATTGAATTAGAGTGATTTCATCAGCTCAGTTTAGGCAACAGTGCATGTGGTCTGATGTGTGTCTGGGACTATATAGGCTTTAACATTGTCTGTGAATCCGGAGATTAGAGTCCAAATTATATTGTAAAATATACATTATGTATCTATAAAATGATTGCTTACTTAAGTACATTTGCTTATGTTTCTTTTGAAGAGACCAATCTTAGGTCTGTATTACAAAGCATTGATGGATTACAACCATTTAAGTTCATGCATCTATGCTCCAAAAAGGGGGTGGCAGTTAACAGGTTAGGTACGATGAGTATGACTTCTACTTTAGTCTCTCTGCACTTCAGATCATTTTTGTTGTTTAATGGCCAATATCTATTTTTATTGCATGGCTCTCTGGAATACTTAATCCTAATTAATGTTATTGATTTAAAGATAAATCAATAGGGTCTCTTGTGGATCATCCCAGAGGCCAGAAAGGTCTGCTGGACTTTCACTGAGCCAGTTCAGCACTAGTCAACACATACATGCTTACACACTCTTTCATTTAAACATCCAGAGAAAGAGGGACTTGCCTGTCTCCGCTGCAATGATGGATTTAGGTGATGAGAGGCATTTTGTTTGGAATATTGGGCCTCCTCGTGCCTTGGCCCCATCCCTTTGGGCCAAGCATGCCAGACTGAATACATAGCTGTGATTGAGGGCAAGAACTCCCTTGCAGCCTATGAGAACACCATTTAAAGTGCCTTACTATGTTATCTACCTTTCAAGAGTCTCCATTTACAGTACAAGTAATTCGTAAGTGTGTTTATCCAATTTATCCCAATATGATAACTTTTGTAAAAGAACAACCAAATATTACGTTGTTGTTTTACTTTTCCTTTAGTGAGCTGTTAATCGAAAACCACTGAGACAGTGTCTTAATTCATTTCATTGCAAAGAACCGGTTCAAAATAATGATTTGTTCACAATTTCAGCTTGCTAAATCAGTGAAAAATGACATAGTTTTCAATCTGAGTGTTCCTCACACAAATATTTAGGGCCATATATAGTTTGGCTTGAGAATACACTCGACAACTCCTGTTAATGATGATTTAGTGATTTCATTTTTGCAACTTAATGTATAGAAAAGATCTGGATGAAGGATATCTGGATAATTCTTTAATGTTGAACAGGAAAAATAAATGGATATGGAGCGCCATGATGCCGAGTAATTTCATCAACACACTTAAAATAATATGAATCCAAATCCAACATGAATAGAAACATTACATGATTTTTTTGAACAATACACAATGAAATTGATTGAGGAACTAGTGGTTATGTAGCCTACTTTGTCTTTATTCAGCTTTAAAGGTTTATCAGATATTATGGTGCTATTTACATTTACAAGTGTCTTACTTTTACACCAAGTGTCTATTACATTGTTAGTTAGCTTACAAGTCTCTTCAAGTACTTTTCACTGTGTTTATCCAGTTTAACAGGTCTATAAATAAAGCTTAAAACACAAGTGCTTTCTTCAAACTGTATGAAAGCTGGAACTGACGGTTGTGGGTTGTTTTTTATTTTGTATTTTATTTTATTTTGTCTTTATTGTAGTCTGAACAGCACCACCTAGTGATCAAGTACCTTCATAACTCCAGATTTGAAACTTCCACTTGCAAGTTTGTGCATAAGCTCGTACATTCCTGCACTTTTTGCTCTAAATCATGAACTATTTTAGATCCTCTTAAACATTACACTTACAATCTTACTGACCAGAGAGGCTTGATATACGTCTACACTGC